CATTTATTTCAGCCCTTTGTATTCAGCATGTCTCTATCGAAATAAACCTACATTTCTATGAAAATTGAAGCTTTTGCTTTTTTGTGGCCCACATAAACTTAAACTTGTTTATTTGACCCGTGTTATCCTTTGAGTTTGACATGCTTGGGCTAATATAATATACTACCCTGAATCAATACTCTTTCCCAGTATGCATTAGGATGATACTAGTCAAAATGTGGTTCAAAGACTGATGTCCCTGGTCTATGATTAGTACACAAAGTGAAACTAGGCATTTGAAAATTTTTACACAATAAATAGGCCTGCAACAGATTGGGAACAAAAGCAACCTGGTTTTTCGCCACAGTTTGAGAAACACTGCATTCAGACAGAGTAGCCAATACCTCAGGGAACATGAGTTCATGGGCCAAATACAACCAACATGAGGAAAACAATAAACTAAATTACACACACACACACACACACACACACACACACACACACACACACCACACTTACATATATAAGAGGGAGGCCCAGACCAGCCAAGCAATCGCACCCCATGTCTGTCACCTGCAGAGGGAAGCAACCAGTGGCAGGGGAGGGGGGAGCCAGCTACTGGCAGCTGGGGGTTGGGGGGTGGGAGGGAGAAGAAAACCCCAATAGGCCCTAATCACCGGCCAGGCCTAGGAACCCTACCCAAGGGGTCCGGGATTGCGAGAGGGCACAGGCTGGGCTGAGGGATGCCCCCAATCCCCTGCACAAAATTTCATGCACTGAGCCTCTAGTATTAACAATATGAGACGATGAGAAATCACTTAAAGAAAAAGCAATGAAGAGATATTAGACTTGAAAATGTAATAGTTTCAGTGCACGGGACAACTCCCAACCAGCTGAGCCACACTGGCCAGGGCTAAATTATCTATTTCTGTGTAACAAATTACCCCACAAAATAATGGCTTAAAACAAAAAACATTCATTATTTCTCAAGATCTCTGAGGGTTGGGAGGAATTTGGGAGCATCTAGCTGGTTGATTCTAGCTTGGGGTTTCTCATAAGATTTCAGTCAAGCTGTCAGCTGGGGCTGCAGTCAGCTGAAGGCTTGTCTAGGGCTGGAATATGCATTTCAAGATGCCTCACTCACCTGGTTGTTGGCAGAAAGCCTCAGTTCATCTCGACAGGGCTGTCTGAGTGTCTCCCAGAACAACTGATCCAAGACAGAGGAAGAACAGGCAGTAAGCTGCTGCGCCTTTTTGTCACCAAGACTCTGAAATCACACACTATCATTTCTGCTATATATAATTGATTTCATAGAGGAAGGGAGAGGGAGAGAGATAGGAACATCAATGGTGAGGGAGTATCATTGATTGGCTGCCTCCTGCACTCCCCCTACTGGGGATGGAGCCCATAACCCAGGCATGTGCCCTTGACTAGAATCAAACCCGGGACCCTTCAGTCCACAGGTTGGTGGTCTAGCTACTGAGCCAAACCAGCGAGAGCCATTTCTGCTTTATTCTATTCTTAAAAGTAAGTCACCAAGTCCAACTCACAATCATTAGGATCAACCTCTTGAAGGGAACAGGGTCAAAGGATATGTAGGCATTTAACCCCCCAAAACTGTCCATGGTCTTCTCTTTGCCCTCCAGTTTCAATAGGGACAATGAAGTTATCACTTTTCCTATCTGATGACTGTTGCTCTATTTAAGATTTTGATCTCCTCCCTGAATTTATAAAAACTCAGCCATATTAATTATTCCTCCTTTATATTCAGTATCTCTTTCTCATCTTTATGCTCTCCCTCAGCATTTAAACACTTTTCCTGTAGTAGTTTTAAAACTTGACCCCAAATTCTCTGACATTCTTCCCATTAAAACAGCGGTTCTCAACCTGTGGGTCGTGACCCCTTTGGGGGTCGAACGACCTTTTCACAGGGGTCGCCTAAGACCATCAGAAAACACATATATAATTACATATTGTTTTTGTGATTAATCACTATCCTTTAATTATGTTCAATCTGTAACAATGAAAATACATCCTGCATATCAGATATTTACATTACGATTCATAACAGTAGCAAAATTACAGTTATGAAGTAGCAATGACAACAATTTTATGGTTGGGGGTCACCACAACATGAGGAATTGTATTAAATGGTTGCGACATTAGGAAGGTTGAGAACCACTGCTGTAGATGATCCCAGTTCTCAGCAGTTCGACCCCCCCACCCCCACCCTCTCCCGGCCCCCCCTCCCCCTGGCCGCCATTTGAGTCTCTCCAGACATTGTGAAACAGAGATCAGTCACCCCTGCTGTGGTTTGTCAAATTCTTGACCCTTGGGATCCATGAGCATGATAAAATAGTTTTTGTGTTATGCCATTAAGATTGGGTTGGCTTGTTACAGAGCAATAGTAACCAAAACATCTCTTTTACAACCAAATCTCTCAAAAGAGTTATCTATTCTCATCATCTCTATTTCTTTACCCTCCACTTATTCCTGGAATCTGAACTTTGCTCCCTTCTTTCAGGCTTAATAATGGTCTCTGAAATAAATGATCTCCAAGTTTCTAAATCTAATAGACATTTTACTATTAGACTGCTTAGAGAATTATTTAACACTATTGTCCAATTCTTCCTTCTTTTTTTAAAAAAATGTATTTTTATTGATTTTAGAGAGGAAGGGAGAGGGAGAAAGAGATAGAAACAACAATGATGAGAGAAAATCATTGATCAGTTGCCTTCTGCACACCCCCTACTGGGGATCAAGCCACACCCCCTACTGGGGATCAAGCCTCAACCCCGGTATGTGCCCTTGACTGGGATTGAATGCTGGAACCTTCAGTCCACAGGCCCATGCTCTTCCTCCACTGAGCCAAACCTGCTAGGGCCAATTCTTCCTTTTTTTTAATATATATATTTTATTAATTTTTTACAGAGAGGAAGGGAGAGGGATAGAGAGTCAGAAACAAACATCAATGAGAGAGAAACATTGATCAGCTGCCTCCTGCACACTCCCTACTGGGGATGTGCCCGCAACCAAGGTACATGCCCTTGACTGGAATCGAACCTGGGACCCTTGAGTCTGCAGGCTGACGCTCTATCCACTGAGCCAAACCAGTTAGGGCAATTCTTCCTTCTTGAATACTCTCTTCTAGTTTCTATAACACCACACTGTCCCAGGTCTTTTCTTCTAAAGATACTATCTTGCTGCCATTGTCACCACTGCCAGAAAAGATTCTTTGGGGTTCCTGCTTCTTAGTGTCTTAGCTCTCTCTTCAAAGTCCCTGGTGGGTACATCTGATTATCAAAGGCAGACCTTGCCCTAGCCTGTTTGGGTCAGTGGATAGAGTGTCGGCCCGCAGGCTGATGAGTCGCAGGTTCGATTCCGGTCAAGGGCACATGCCTGGGTTGTGGGCTCGGTCCCCAGTGGGGGGTGTGCAGGAGGCAGCTGATCAATGCTTCTCCCTCATCATTGATGTTTGTATTTCTTTCTCCCTCTCCCTTCCTCTCTGAAATCAATAAACATATATTTTTAAAAATGTAGACCTTGACTATGGTCCCAACTTAGCAAGAGATTCTGGGAAAGCAAGTGACTGACATTTCCAGGTTCTTTGCAGAAGGCAGGTTCTACCTCTTACCAATTAATCATAATGTAAGAAATTCTCCAAATGTGTAAATGAGTTTCAGAAGCTGGGACAGGGAAGGTGAGGAAAAAAGCCTCCACCATTTCCTCCTTGCAACAGAAAGTTTATCACTGACCTGATGTGCTCTCCTGAGGAACAAATTTGTAGAACTCTTTTGCATGTTTTAAATAACAAAGGCTAAGATAAAACCTTTTGCTATAACAATGGCCAGGTCTTTCTGGGAGAATTCTCAATGCTGATGCTGGCAGAGTAACTTGGGGACCTCCAACACTCCTGATACCTAGTGATTTTCCAACATCTTTCCATTCACCTTTCTGGTTTTCTTCGTTTCTTTTGTTGTTTTTCTTTTTTCTTTTCTATTATCTTTCTGAATGTGAGGAAATGCGACTACATAGCAAAACACCCTTACAGTAATACAGAAGTAATATTAACTATCCTGGCCTTAGCCGGTTTGGCTCAGTGGACAGAGCCTCGGCCTGTAGGCTGTAAGGGTCCCCTGTTGATTCCAGTCAAGGGCACTGTCCAGGTTTCCAGCTCGATCCCCGGTGGGGAGAGTGCAGGAGGCAGCCATTGATGTTTCTCTCATCATCGATATTTCTATCTCTCTCTCCCTTTCTCTCTGAAATCAATAAAAATATATTTAAAAAAAATATTCTGAATATTTGAATTCTCATAGAGCAGTATGATCCTCAAAATACATAACTAATTGTTGATGAAACCAAAGGAATAAACTTTGTCCAACAGGACCATGTATGACACAGGACAGGAATCTATAAAAACACACACAACTAAATGTTTTAAAAATGTGAGTCTTTTTTTTTTCACTTTTACGACATCACAGTACTTCTCAGTACCTGACCTCAGCATAGAGAACTAGAAAACTAATTTAGTTTATAGAATTAATGTTTCTGTAGCAATAGTGAAAATTTACTGATTTAAGATTTTAGCAAATATATAACCTGTTTGCGCCTCTAAATATTAGGGACATAAACATGTCAGAAGAAAGGATTGATGTGCAATGAATTTTTGTATCTGAAAACACAAAACCTACTATTTTTCCTAATTTTTTTTTCTGAATTTAACCAAGAATTACTTTCTCCTTCTCTCAGCCTGTCTGGGTTTTCCTCTTTGAATGAACCGCTTGTGATCTGTAGAGGTTTAGAAACGGTTTTCCTCGACTAAAACAAGGGCTTCAATAAAGGAAGACTTCTGTGGAAATCGCTTACCGTTGCCATTGCTGAACTTAAGTACAATAATGTCACATGTACTCACACAGTAATTGTGGACACGCCTAAGTCCCTCCCACTTTCCTAAACCAAATTCCCCAGATCCTAGAAATCCAGCCCTTCTGCCCTCCGGAGGCGCCTTTCCCACCGTAAAATACCATTTTAAGTTTCAGCTCCTGCCTCCAGAATGGTTCGTGGCCAAGCGCTGGGGAATCTGGGCGCCCCGGCGCCTCTGGAGGGTGCAGCGGGGTGCGGGCAAGGGCAGGGGAGTGGGCGCAGCTGCTGGTTGGTGCCTGAAATCTGTGCGTTGCCCCTTTAATTGTGTCCTTAGCCCTCGGGCGTTTCTGTCCAACGCCCACGTCAGCAAATACCTTTTGTTTCTCTCACGTTGGGGCTACATGTTTTAGGGCGCACGGGAGCGGCTTCGGAAGGGGGCCTTTCCCCCGCGGAGGACCGGAATCTCCCCCAGCCGCGCGCGCGACCCGCCGGGGCAACGGGGCCGCGGTAAGAGGCTGCGGGCGGCGCGGGCGGCGGGCGGGCGGGGCGTCGGGGCTGCCGGGACCGGCTCGCGAGCATCGCTCCGGGCGGAGACGCGGGCGGCGGCGCCGCGGGCTCTGACCCCCCGGGCGGCGGCGGAGGGGGATGCGGCGGCGGGGGCGGCCCGGGGCGCGGTGCCCAGACGTCCCCGGCCGGGCGAGCGGCGGGAGGCGCAGAGGCGAGCGGGCGCCATTTGCAGCCCCGGGCGCAGCGGCGGCGGTGCGCCGGCTCCGAGGGGCTGGAGACGGTCACAAAGGCGGCGCGGGCAGCCGGCGGCGGAGGACGCGGCCGCGGGGAGAGGCGGGCGGCGCCGGGGCGCACAGGCTCCCGGACCCCGCGCCCGCCCGGCCTCGCCGCCCCGACCCGCCCGGCCAGCCCATCCTGCGCGCCCGGGAGGGGCTGCGGGACAATGGCCGCGCCGTCGCCGCCCGCGCCTGCTTCACCGCCCCCGCGGAACGCCGGGTTCGCCTCGCCTCGGGCCGGTGGCGCCGCGGTGAAGGCGGGAAGGCGCGCGGAGCCTCCTGGCGGCGGCGGCAGGGCGGCGCGCGGACGGTGCCGGGCGTGTCTGGAGCCGTCGGGCGCCGCGGGCTCCCGGAGGTTCGGGGCCGGCCGGGCTCGTGCTGGTCGCCGGGTGGCGGGCGGCCCGCCTAACGGGGCGGCGTGGAGCCCGGGCTTCCCCGGAGCCCCGCGCCCGTGCTCCCCGGGAAGGCGGCATGCCGGGCGGGAGTCCGAGTTTTCCCGCACACCCTCCGCCCTCTGATTTTTATATCATGCGACAGATCCCGGCCTGCAGCCGAAGGCACCCAACAAACACTGAGTTATGATCATTGTTTTATGAAGGAACCACACACGCACCTTCTACCGCCACTTTGGCAAGTGAGCGGTTTAGCCTCGTCTCCTTAAAATGCACTTCGGTGTCATTGTGCCAGTAGCCAACGTCCGCATCTTTCAAAAAGCGGAGTTTTAAAAAATGAGATAATAATTGATATATAGCATTGTAATGGCTGACATTTATATATCAGGTTGTGTTTGGAAGCGGTAGATTGTTACTTCTGTTCTTAAGAAATATTCATATTCTCTGAACTTTATTTAGTGAAACGCGGAGCTGCACCTCTGAGCCAGGAGGTGAGCCATGGCAGCCCCGCGGCGCCTTTCCTCCTGCTCTTGCCCTGTCTTTCCTCCTGAAGTCACCTCCAGGCTTCTGGAAGGAAAGTCAGCCACCTCGCTCTCCAGGTCTAAAAACCTTAACTGGTCCTTATCAGAAAAAAAGTTCACAATCCCCCGCGGGAGAATCAATGGCCAAATTTTCTCTCCAGTCCCATGTCAGAGCCTCCGTGATGGGTGGGTTTGTGGGACCCCAAGAGCAAGAGCCCTTCACTGATAACGAGGAATCGCCTATCTTTATTCCTGGGACACTGCTTGGCCGCAGCCATGGGAAGTGGGAAGTGAGAATAACCCCCACCCCTGTCCGAATGGGCGCAGGTGGATTAGGCTGTGTCACTAGGAGGCATCGTGAGCAACTGGGCTCCTCCTTGGCTGTGTAAACTTCAGGCGCCAAGAAAGAGGGCGCCCTGTCAGATCCCATCTCCTGGACTTGAAATCACCAGCCCTCTGTTGATAATGACTTGGGGCCAGAAAAAAAAACGTTGTAAGATGTGGTAACACAAATCATTTTATAGCATTTAAGTTGTGTTTTCAAGATGCAGAATTTACCTCTAATAGGATTAACCCTTTCAGTGACATAATTTTATGTGTATAATAAAATATTTTATCTAAGTTTATTTGATTCCCCATGGAGGGAATTTTTTGACACCTTTTTTGTTCAAATTTGGTCAGTGGCTCCTCATTTTACTCAGATGAAAAGTCAAAGCCCCACCCTGGCCAGTGTGGCTCACTTGGTTGAGTGTCCTTAGGTGCCTCAGAAGGTCGATGGTTGAATTCCTGGTCAGGGGACATGCCAAGGTTTTCGGTTTGATCCCCTGCATGGGGTTCCTATGGGATGCTGCCAATCCATGTTTCTCACATCTCTCTCTCTCTCTCCCCCCTCTCTAAAATCAATAAAAACATTTTTTTTAAAAAAAATCAAAGCCCTACCAAAACCGGTTTGGCTCAGTGGATAGAGCATCGGCCTGCGGACTGAAAGGTCCCAGGTTCGATTCCAGTCAAGGGCATGTACCTGGGTTGCGGGCACATCCCCAGTGGGAGATGTGCAGGAGGCAGCTGATGATGTTTCTCTCTCATCGATGTTTCTAACTATCTCTCTCCCTTCCTCTCTGTAAAAAATCAATAAAATATATTAAAAAAAATATATTAAAAAAAAAATCAAAGCCCTGCCTAGCTGGTTTGGCTCAGTGAATAGGGTGTTGGCCTGTGGACCAAGGAGTCCCGGGTTCGATTCTGGTCAAAGGCATGTACCTTGGTTGCAGGATCCTCCCTGCAACCAAGGGCCCAGGTTGGGGCTCCTGCAGAGGCAACCAATCTATGTGTTTCTCTCACATGGATGTTTTTTTCTTTCCCTCTCTTTTCCACTCTCTCTAAAAAAAAAAAAAATCATTGGAAAAATATCCTCAAGTAAGGATTAACAAAACAAACAAAGTCACAGTCCCCCAAATCTTTGACAAGGCCTTCCAGGAACTCCTACCTGTCTCACAGTCTGCCCTTCCTTTTTGTTTTTTAAATATATTTTTATTGATTTTAGATAGGATGGGAGAGGGATAGAGAGATAGAAACATCAATGATGAGAATCATTGATCATCTGCCTCCTGCACGCTCCCTACTGGGGATCGAGCCCGAGACCCAGGCATGTGCCCTTGGGACCCTTCAGTCTGCAGGCTGACGCTCTATCCACTGACCCAACCGGGCTAGGGCTTCCCTTCCTTTTTCTGACTCAGTTTCTCACTGCTCTCCCCAGCCCTCCTTGTCTGCTCCACCCAGAGCCTCTGTACTTGCTATTCCATCTGCCTGGAGTACTTTCCCCCTAGATACCTACATACTCTCACTTCTTTTGGATTAACTTAAATGCCATTGTATCAATGAAACTTTCGCAACTATGGTTTTGATTCTCTCTTTTTTTTTTCTTGAAATATGTTTTTATTGATTTCAGAGAGAGGAAGGGAGGATAGAAACATCAATGATGAGAATCATCCATCTCCTGCCTCCTGCATGCCCCCCACTGGGGATCAAGCCTGAAACCCTTGCATGTGCCCTGACTGGGAATTGAACCCTGACCACCTGGTTCATGGCTCGACACTAAACCACAGAGCCACAGCAGCCAGGTGCTGTTTCAACTTTTATTGTCTATGTACTGAATTAAGAAAAATTTAAATTTATTACCAATTTCTCTGATTTAATCACATATCCTATATAATAAAGAGCTAATATGCAAATGATCATCACGCTGTCACACTATCATACCGGGGGCGGGGGGGGGGGGGAACCTGAGGCTGCACCCCCCTGCCCTGCGGGGCTTGACAGGAGTGGAATCAGCCAGGTCTGGGTCTTGCGCGATTTCAAGGCGCACACAGGTGGGCGGGGACTTGACTCTGGGTTTTGTGGCACTCCCCAGACTCTGACAGGAGTGAGTTTCATATACATTTTACTAATTTTCTTTCATCTCTGACACTTCTATTATAGAGAAAGGACAAATAGCAATATTAAAATATTTCCTCTAATTAATTCCCTTTTAATGTGCACGATTTCGTGCACCGGGCCACTAGTTAGAAAATAAACCTCTCTTGAAAACTTAAGAGTACTATTATGGCCCTGACCGGTGTGGCTCAGTTGGTTGGAGTGTTATCCTGTGGTGCACCAATGGGTCTGGGTTCAATTTCCAGTCAGGGCACATAACCAGGTTTTGGGGTTCGAGTCCTGGGCAAGTATGGGAGGCAGCTGATATATTTGTCTCTTGTATTTGTTTCTCTCTCTCCCTCTCCCTTCCTCTCTCTCTAGAATAAATAAAAAACAACATATCCTCCGATGAGGATTAGGGAAAGGAAGAAGAAAAGGGTACTATTTTGAATGTTGTTAAGTTATAACTGATCCCAATTTATTTATTTATTTTAAAATAAGCTTATTAACTGATCCCAATTTATAGGACAATTACTATTTTCATGAAAAACTTGCTGTTTCTTCTCCTTTGTCTCCACTGTCTTAGTTCAGTTCTTAGTTCTTCACCATTTCTTGTTTTGATATTTGCATTTAGCCTTTAAATTGGCCTCCCTGGTCTTCCTCTCTATCATTTCTTTCTCCATGCTATCTCAAGTTTTCTTAGGGGTATGTAAATTGAATTATAATAATAATATATATATATTTTTTCTTTTAAAGGAGTGACTTTTAAAATATATATATTTTTATTGATTTCACAGAGGAAGGGAAAAGAGAGAGAGAGAGAGAAACATCAATGAAGAGAGAGAGTCATTGATGGGCTGCCTTCTACATGCTCCTTCCTGGAGATCGAGGCCGCAACCTGGGCATGTGCTTTTGACTGGAATCGAACCAGGGACCCTTCAGTCCGCAGGCCAACTTTCTCTCCACTGAGCCAAACTGGCTAGGGCAATACCTACTTTTTAAAAAGTTTGATGATTTTTATAGAGAGAGAGAAACATTGATTTGTTGTTCCACCCACCCATGTGTTCACTGCTTGATTCTTGTATGTACCCTGACCAGGTGTCAAATCCACAACGTTGGTGTACTGGGACACCGTTCTAACCAACCGAGCTACCCGGCCAGGGCCAGTAATACTTACTTTTTATTGCGCCCTAGCTGCGCTGTGCATACACTATGTTCAGAAGAGGAATACAAGACTTCAGCGGAGTGTCAGTTTGAGGTCAGTCCGCCTGAATTCCAGTCTCTGTTCACTTGCTCCTTGATACCTGGTCAGGGCACATACTTGCTCAAGTTTTGAGGCAAACGACATACTAATTCATCATCTGGGCCCAATTTCAGAAAAGAGAAACCACTTTAGTGTT